GTGGTGTCTGGGCAGCGAAGAACTTATCGAATCTCTGGTGTATAAATAGATCGAAAGCTCTCGAGGTGCTGGCCAGTTAGAATAGTTGGGATTATTGTAAATGTTGTTAAATATATTGTAGTTGGTGAATTGGTTAACTTGTATGTCCTACTAGAAAGTTAGAGCTCTGCTGTCTAGTGGGAGTGTAAATTGTGTGTATAACTGTAAAATAGCGCACGGTACCATAACTACTGACATGTACCATAACCACTGACATTGTGTAAAAATTACTAACAATTGCTGTTTTATGTTATATGTATAATACCATAACTGTTACTAACTGATCTGTGACTTTAAAACTGTATTATAACCACTTACTAACTGTACCATAACCACTGACTGTAAAGATGAGGTTACTAGAATGTGATATAGTTGGTTAGTCAAGAGTTGATTTATAGTACAGATAATTGTAGAGATGAAATCTGTTGAAATGTTATGTGATCGGTTAGTTTATATGGATTAATAGCGTGGATAGTTGTATGGTTTGAATAATAGTTACATTGATAAGTGTATAGTCTTTGGTGGGTTTTTGATTTAATTTCGTGTGTGCGACGTCGTGATATTGTTGAGCATGTGAGGATCCTGTGTGTGTGTTTGGGCCTAGTGACTGCGCAATGTGTTGCTGGTGATAAGGAGATTGGTGTGACTGTTGAAACTGTGTGTATATTTGTACAGCTTTTTGAATCAGATGCTCTGTTGAAATAATCTTCTGATTCACAAGGCTTTGTCTTGTATGTTTAAAAAAAAAAAAAAAAAGTAGGGAGTAGCTTGTCCTGGTGGCCGCATGGCCTCCATGTAGCAGTCTTCACTTAAATTTAGTGCAGGGTGTACATGTGGCTGTAACTAGTAGGCTGGAATTCTATGATCAGTTTCTATAAATTGACTGTTGGAAACTGATTTGTTGAAAAACTGCCTTGGTGAATTAAACTGTGTCATATGGGAAACAATGTAGCCATATGGTGGTCAGAACTAAGGCCTTAATTACAACTGCTTTGGACATCCCCTCCCCCCCTGGCATCTGATTACCAACCCCCCAAACATCCTCCAGAGCCAGAGTAGCCACGCCCATTTCTGGCTGGTATAATCAGTATTTGCACTCTCCCTGCTCTACTGTCCCCGCCTACCCACATACCTATCTGTTCCTGTGTTTCAAACTCTTGTATTTCTGTACTACCCCTCCCCCTAATCAATGATCAATGGTATCAGATGGTATATGGTCTTTTTTTAGTTACTGGATGGGCCCCTCCCAGCTTTGTCCAAAATGTCCCCTTTTTACTAAACTACAAACTGAGATGTTTAATTTACTTTAGAACTAAAGATTTAATCAAGCCTAGATATCAGGGTGGACATTGATTAAAATAAGTAATAATAAAATAGGACATAATTAATTAAAGTCTATTTGTTTCATTTGACTTTAGGGAGGCACTCTAAGCCACCTACTGGCCATCTTCGGGAGTTACATTGATAATACATTGTTTATAACAGATAGATGTAGGATTGCTTACCCTATTTTAATATATTTATTGCTATAAGGTTTTATTTTATGTATAAATATATTAAAAGTTGAGTTTTCTTATTAGACCCATAAAGATTATTTTGATACAATTACCCTCTGGTGACACCTACTGGTAGGTTTTTGGTTTAACACTTTAAAAAAAAAAAATTTTTTCATCCACCAAATGCTGACTAATAAAATTAGCTCACCCCCTTTCACCTATTTTACTAATCCTAGACTGTAACCTATTATTGGGCAGCCTTGCCGAAGTCCCATATTAGACACTGCTTGAGTCAAATAGGTTGTATACTCCCTTTAATCCAGAGGCCCCTGAAAACTTCCGAATTATAGACTCAGCATTTGTCAGCCAGGCCCAAGGTGATAGTAAAAGGAAATTACAGAAATTAGAGGGATTTGCAGGGATGTCCATAATACAGCTAATGGAGATTGCAAATACAGTATATATGAATAGGGAGACGGAGGAAGAACGTAAAATGAGGAAAAAGGCAGATATGCTAGCGGTAGCTATCTTAAGTGTAGAAAGACAGGGAAGTGAATAGAGGAGACGAGAATAGGCTGAGCAAGGGACTTTAAGTAGGAATTAATGTGCGTATTGTAGAAAGGAGGGACATTGGAAGAGTGAGTGTCCACAGAGAGAGCAGTATGAAGGTGATAGACAGGAGAGAGAAGGGTAAGAGGAAGTTTTAGAGGGAATAGTAGAGGAAGTGTTCAAGGAGACAGATACTATCCACCCACGCAGAGACCTAGAGAAAGAGAGGATAGAGATTTTGTGGGTCTGGCTGACACTATCATGGAAGACTATTGATACCGACTGGGCTCCATCCCACTTGGTTGAGCGGAGCCTATGGTCGATGTAGCAATAGGGGGAAAGAGAAGTTCTTTCATGATCGACACAGGTGCTGAACATTCTGTGGTGACTAAGATGGTGGCTCCGCCTTCGGGGAAGACTATAACTGTGATAGGAGCTACTGGGAGAAGTGCAGCTAGACTGGTTCTTAAGAGTCGCACTTGTATTCTGGGAGGCCATGTGGTGAAGCATTAGTTCCTATATATGCCAGAGTGTCCGATTCAACTTTTAGGACGAGATCTATTATCGAAGCTTTAAGCTCAGATAACCTTTTACCTAATGGATTAACATCTCTGAAGTTTAAGGGATTACCAGGCATAATGGCGATATCGGTGCCAAGGGAAGAAGAATGACGCTTCTATTCCATAGTGACAAGTGTTAACCCTAAGAGTGATGAATCCTTATTTGACATTCCAGGAGTATGGGAAGAAAATAATCCTCCAGGACTTGCTCGTAATATCCCACCAATACATATTGAGTTAAAGCTCGGGGTGTATCCTGTTAGCCTTTGTATGTTGTTCTTTTATCTACCCCAACAGCTGTAAAGGTGGCAGAAGTGACTCCTTGGATTCATCATTCTAAGGTTAAACCAGCAGCAGACTCTTGGCAAGCTCCTCCAGATCCTGAGAATCCTTGCAGGACCCGGTTGAAGCGTGCAACTTAGTCGGAGTGACGAGGGGATATCGAGACATTCTAGTTAAAAGTCTACAAAGATCATCAAGTAGGTGTTTTGACGGCCATAATAAAGCCTGACCACCTGCCTACGTGTCATAGCCAGAGTATCTTGAAGGGATCTCTGTGAAGGAAAGTGAGGATCAGAAGAACAACATCCTTGCAGCCCTCACAATCGGGAAGCTGAGAGGCCATCGCACGGTCGAAGAAAAATGAGGATTTCAGGAATAATGTGTTTTATTGTGTCTTAGTATTTTTATGATTTTTCAGGAAGGTAGGAGTACAGACATACCGAATTGCGATAGTTGCATTAAGACTACTAAAACAGGTAACCAAATATCCCAAACTCTCATCTGGCACTCACAGTATGAATGTAAGGGATCTGTATCTAAATGTAGATATTTGGATATTGATTATAGTGTGTGCAAGCCAATATCAGGAGAGTCTAAATGTTTTGATCCCCATTTCCAACCCCGTACAATTTGGTTGGTAATTCGGAATAGTAACTCCCAGGGGACATTACTAAATAGGACTGTGATAAGCACCATACATTCCACGGGTATTCTACTATTTGATGCATGTAAGGCGATTTCGGGTAGTGGAAGACTTTGGAATGTATGTGGTAATCTTAAATGGGAACGAACTTATGGGTTTAATGATAAATACTTATGTCCCAGTAAAAGATCTACTGATCCTGATTGCCCAAATAGAGACTAACTTCTGCCCCTATTTGTCATGTGTAGGTTGGGCAACCTGGGAAAAACAGTGGATCAAGATATGATTATCCAAAGGTTGCCTACCACACCATACTGTAAAACTATGTGTGTAACCCCGTTCACATGACCATTTCCAATCTGCAGTACTTTATTGACAGGTTTGGAGGTCTGTTTGGGTTTCAAATATATGGCACAGGAGTAGATTCAGGAACAATAATATATGTAGGTCTTGAAACTGAGACAGTGGCAACTCAAACTCATCAGGTTTCTCATTCCTTCTATGAGGAGATGAGTATTGAGGATAAAATTCCCCATAATGTTAACAACCTATTTATTGATTTGGCTGAGGGTATTGCAGGTAGTCTTAATGTAACTAATTGCTATGTGTGTGGAGGTACTAATATGGGAGACCAGTGGCCATGGGAGGCAAAGGAAATATGGTACCCTGGCTCTGAGACATATGAACAACAGATACCTTTCCAGTCTGATCATCAAGTAAGTACTAGAAGTAAATTGGAATGGTGGTTAAAAACCTCCATTATAGGTCATGTTTGTATAGCCAGGAAAGGGACAATGTATAACACGTCTGTAGGTGAGCTAACTTGCTTGGGACAAAAAGCCTATAATGTTAATACTAAAAATACTACTTGGTGGTCAGCTTCAAATGTCTCGGAACCTACTAATCCGTTTGCCAATTACACTCATTTAAGGGAGGTATGGTTTGACTTATCGGCTACATCTAGTTGGAAAGCCCCAGCAAATTTATACTGGATCTGTGGTAAGAAAACTTATTCGGAGTTACCACAAGATTGGGAAGGGGCATGTGTATTAGGTATGCCAAAGCCATCCTTCTTCTTGTTGCCAATCGAAACAGGAGAGACCTTGGGAGTTAAGGTTTACGATGTAAATCATAAAAGGGAGAGAGCATCCTTGAATATAGGTAGCTGGGAAGATAATGAGTGGCCCCCTCAACGTATTATTAATTATTATGGACCTACTACTTGGGCAGAAGATGGCACTTATGGATATAGAACTCCGATTATATATGCTCAACCGCATTATTAGACTACGGGCGGTAGTTGAGATTATTACTAATGACACAGCTCAAGTGCTTAATCTTCTAGCTAAGCAAAATACCAAGATGTGATCAGCCATATACCAGAATAGGCTAGCCCTTGATTACCTTCTAGCAGTAGAAGGAGGTGTATGCGGAAAGTTTAATCTAAGTAACTGTTGTCTGCACATAGATGATGAAGGGCAGGCAGTGGCTGAACTTACAAGCCACATGGTTAAATTTGAGCATGTACCTACTCAGGTCTGGAATGGGTATAACCTAAGTATTTGGTTTGGAAGTTGGTATGAGCAGCTTGGAGGAATTAAGACATTAGTAGGAGGAGTAGAATTTATTATATTTTTTTGTGCCTCCTCCTGCCCTGTCTAATTCCACTAGTGGTAAGGTCCCTACGTAGCATTATAGAGAGTACTAGAGAGAAAGACAGCGGCTCATGTAATGGCTGTCTGGAAGATATGATCCCCTAGCCCGAAGAGAATATATTCAGGATGAAGAATGTTGACGGAGTTTTTAAGATGCTTACAAGGTCTACTCTGGTTCAATGGCTACTTGAGAGATGTAGGTAAAACTGTGATTGGTGATGCATCTGGAATAATGTTATATCAGAGGCATCAAAGGGGGGAATGTGATGGGATTCCAGCATGGTCAAAATTTAGTAGGCCAAAATCTCCATGTGGCATATGTGTATGTTGTGTCAGTTGGTTAGCTACATGTAGCTAGGATACTGTCATCAGTGTACTGAGCATGTGCAGGAATGCAGGAACTGAAATTGCACTTATTTCCTTTGTCTTGGATGAGCCATGTGGTTTGACTAGATGTACAAGTCTATATTCTGCTCATTGATTGGTCTGAGGAATATAGGAGGGGTTATACTGTATGGGAGGAGATATGCAGTTAACAAAAGTCCCAAGCCACAAGTATATGTCTCTCAGATCCTTTGGAACAGGAGTTCATCTGAGACCCGATCGGTAATGTGAATAAAGGCCTGTTACTTCCTGAAGACCTGTGTCCAATATTTCTGTGTTTGGCTTCTGCATGCTTACACTGCAACACCAGGTCTCTGCATGCATATTCGATTGGGTTCAAGGACACTTAAGGACATTCACAGAATTGACCTTAAGCCACCCTTATTGCCTGAGTTGTCTTGGCTGTGTGCTTAGGGTCATTGTCCTGTTGCAAGTTTAATCTTCAGCTCAGTCTGAGGTCCTGATAGCTCTGCACCAGGTTATCAATAAGAATAGATCTGTAATTTGTTGGTTTTGTTGTTCAGCTTTTCCTCAACCCTGACCTTTATTCCAGTTACTGTATCTGCACCCCCCACCCCCACTCCCCCAAAGCATGATTCTAAAACAACCATACATCACTGTTGGGATGGTATTGCACAGGTGATGAGGAGTACTTGGTTTTGTCCAAACATGACACTTTTAATTGAGGCCAAACAGCTCAATCCTCATGTCACCTGACCAGATAATCTTGTTTCTTAGAGTCTGGGAGTTCTATAGGTGCTTTTTTTGCAAATTCCAAGCAGAGTTTCCTGTGTCTTGCAGTGAGTTACAGTAATGGTGAGTTACAGTAAAGTGTTACAGTAATGGTTGTGCTTCCACACGTTTCTCCCATCTCCACACATGATATCTGGAGTTCACTCAGAGTGACTGACCATCTGGTTCTTGGTCACCTCTCATACCAACACCCTTCTCCTCTGATTGCTCAATTTGACCAGACAGCCAGCTCTAGGAAGAGTCCTGGTTATTTCAAACATCTTATATTTAAATATTATGAAGGTCACTCTTGGGAATCTTCAATGCAGGCAAACAAATTTTGAGCCTTCAAGATCCATGTGCCTTGACACAATCCTGTTTCTGAGCTTTACAGATAGTTTTTTTTTTTTTTCTCCTCATGGCTTGGTGTTTGCTCAGATATTCGTTTAATGACCTTGTATAGACAGGTGTACACATGGAATAGTATTGTCTAAATAGCACAGCAAACTAAGCTAATCAAGGAGCATTGGTGCTCTGGGTTGCTGTCCTGTATTGTACTTGAGCTCTTTTTAGGAAGATTGGAGATCTGTGTTACTATGCTGCAAGTGGAATTGAAGCTTTGTGTTGTGAAGTGTTTTACTGAGTAGAAAGTAGTATTGGATACTTTGGGATACTGTTGGAAGTTAAATTGGCGTTCTGATGTTTTACTGTGTTGTAAGGGCATGGGAGCTCTTGGTTACAGTGCTGCATGTGTTATTTGAGCTCTGGGATACTTTTATGTAAGTGGTATTGGTGCTATGTATTGCTGTGCTGCAAGTGTTATACGATTAGGAGTTAATGCACATTAAATGAAACCTGTGGACTTCTCTATGTCACAGATACATTTTCTAGCCTATACAAGCAATACTGTGAGAGAAGAACTAAGTACCTTTCTTATTCTAACTGTAATTCTGCCATTTTCCAGATAATAATAAGAGTTTAACTAATGTCACATAGTAAACAAATACAATGATTATTGTTTCTTCCTGCTTATTACCTCACTTTTACTAACCTCTGTCGGTCACTCAGCAGTCAGTGTAGATCAGAAGTCCTGATGGTCGGGGTCTGTCTCTTTCAGGTTCTGGGAGCAAAAGAGCCTCAAGCAGCCAGCACAGCAGCTGATCCCTCGTAGCTTGACAAACTTCCTGCTCTGAGTAACACAGCCTGAGCTCTGCTGAAAGAGAAAGGAAACTGAAACTACAGAATAATACCAGATGTACTGGGCAGTGCTACAATGCAATTATAGTCACTGACTGGCAAAGTGTTGTGAGGGGGGGAGAGAAAGGGGTCCAGTTATATATTATTTTGCTCAACTACCATGGCTGGCACAACCATAAGGCGGCATTGATGGCGTCTTAAAGCATACAGGCCTGAGGGCGCAATGTCTGGCATCCAGGTGATATCCAGGTGACTGTATCCTCTATTCGGTCTGACAGTAAGATGCTCACTGAGCGCAACAAACGCCTTCCTGTAGACGATACAGAAGGTCCGCTGTGGTCCGCTTAGCCATGCTACAGAAGGGAGGTGAGCAGGCACGCAAGTGGGAAGAGGGGGGTAGAGAACAAGAGACACAAAAAAGGGCCTGGGGAAGGGGACAGTGACACACACAGAGGGTCAGAGAAGAGGACAATGACACACACAGAGGGACTTGGGAAGAGGACAGTTAGACACACAGAGGGACTTGGGAAGAGGACAGTTAGACACACAGAGGGGCTGGGGACAATGGCACACACAGAGTAGTTGGGGAAGAGGACACAGACACACAGAAGGGCTGGGGAAGGTTGGAAAAGGGACACGCGAAGGAGCTAGGGGAGAAAGAGACACAAAAGATGCTGGGTGGAAGAGACACACAAAATTTATGGGGAAGTGGAGAAAGAGACATTCAAAGGGTGCTGGGGGGAAAACACACAGAGGGGCTCAGGAAGGAGAGTAAGAGACACACAAAGGTGCTGGGTGGGAATAGACACACAAAGGGGCTGAGGGAAAGAGACACACAAATGAGCTGGGGGAATTAAGAGACACAAAGAGGGGCACATCTTCAGTTTATCTATAATCCTTTCAGGCCATTTCATGATCAAATAAATATTCACTAAAACCAATTTTACAATATTAATTGCAATCTTATTTGTAAAGCACCAAAATATTCCACATCACTGTATAATAGGTATACAAGACAAACACTTAATTTTAGCAAAACATGATAGACACAGTAAAAATGTAGGTAAAGAGGGACCTGCCCAAATAAGCTTACAACTCTTATAACTTGACAAACAAAGACCTTAAAGAAATACAAAAGAAATTGCACAACAAAATCATTATTTATAATTAGACCACAAACCATATAAATGAAATGTTTAAAGCTATGTAAAGTCAAAAAATTTTACCATACAGACTCCCCTGATAACCCCCCCCTCCTCAAAAAAAAAGAGGATGACTTTACAATATATATATATATATATATATATTATTTTTTTTATTATTCTTTATTTTTGTTGTGCATTGATTAAACAAGACATCATTCTGTACTCATGACTTAAGAAACTAGTTATGAATGAGAAAACAAAACAATGACAATTAAACTGCATATTTTGTATATATAAAAAGGGGTAAAAGTACACAGTGCTATTATTGAGTATCTAGGAAATTACGAGGGTAGAATACAAGACAACTATAAACAAATAATAGAGTCTCTACTAGACATGGGACTCTAAACCTGGTTTTAATACACATGAAATGAGTATTAAATGACCCAAGAAATAGTATCTTCACTTCACACTTGTGTTTTATTTACCCCCCTTTTTAAATTATCATATTAAGAAGAAAACAATAAAACAAATAATAAAGTCTCTACTAGATATGGGACTCTCAACCTGGTTTTAATACACAAGGTCAGGGAAAATGGACAAAATACAGATAGTGACTCATCGGGAAATAAGCTCGGAGTATAAATAAAGTAATAGCCCAAATCGTCAATTACATGTAACCCCAAGAAGTGCCAAAAAAAGAAAATAATAAGTGCTTTATTAGTATATATAAATAAAAGGCACTATACATGAGGGACGATTACTTTGTGGCAAGGGGTATATAAGTCATCTGGAGGTCTCAGTGATGCAGCACAGATCTTTCAAATCCTATATATGTCCAGGTTGGTAAGCACTAAACTCACTGAAGGGAAAGCCAAATAGGAAGAAAATTCAGAAAGTAATACGTGGTTAATTAAATGCTACCTGAGCTCATGCCAAAATAAACTAATCAGCTAACCAATTGGGACGTCTGTAAAGTCATGCACAAAAGCTAACTATTAGCAAAAGCAAGGACAACAATCCTTATAAACTATCTTTTGGTAGATAGCTCCTAATACCGTGGGAATTAGGGAGTTATCTACTTACTCATCCCAATCCATTGACTGTAATGGAAGTAACTTACATTTTATATGAATGTGTGCTACGTGATTGTTGTAAGTGTTGCAAATGCTTTCAGCTGAATCCTGGCTATGTTTATATACTTTTATTTAAACTGGCATACAGTGTAACATTCTTCATTCTTCCACTTCGGAACTTCGGAATTTCAGCACGTGGACACTTCGGAACTTCGGAACTTAGGAACTTTGGAAACTCGTCAAATCAGCTATTCGGAAGTCTCTGAATTGCCCGAAATTCTTCCGAATTGACATTCAGAATGAAACGAATTGCACATGTCTAGTAGAAATGTTTCGACTGCTAGAGCCGTTGGATATGGTATCCAACTGAAGAAACAAGGTAGGTGCACGTTCAGCCGGAATGCAAAGAGATGGAAGTCTACAGGACCCCACAGTTGGTAGAGTTTTAAGAATAGCCAATGTTAGAAATGCCAATCCCTGAAATCCTGAAGGTAACATGAATTTCAATGTGCAGACAAATTGGCTGTGCCTAGAATATGTTCCACCACAATTAAGATGATGTTTAAGAAGACAATAATGCCAGAAGTCCTGAGCACTGGCTAAACTACCGCTTGTGTAGCCGGTGCGGATGCACTGGGGCCCGCATGCTGAGGGGGCCCATGCTCTTAGGGCCACCCGATGTCAAAAGTGTTTTTAGGAGGCCTTTTAACAGCATGACTGGGC